AGATTAATTATCAGCTGAAAAGTTATATTTATTGTGATAAGATTAATGTATTCGTATGCATGAATTTAGAAAAGAATTGATAACTGTAGCACTGATTCCACGCCATTTGCAGATCGCTATTTATCACATCGGTACCAGAAATCGACAAAACTTGGCAGTTTATATTATAAACAGAAACATCGGATTTTAAAATATTTATATACTAGTATGTAGCTAGCAGAGTGGATCTTGCTGTTCGCTACTGACAAAAGCAGGTGATTGTGGTCTTTCAACGTTGTCAAAAGAATCGCAAAGATAGTTTGTTTAAAGTAAGCAATTTGTCTCTGAAAAACGATAACTAATGTAATGGATTTATTAATTTGTAAGTTACGTTGTCGATAGTTAGATACAAGGAATTACTTAAACATCACTCTTGTCAGATGTCATCAGATGACGAAATTATCCAGTGCAGTGAGAAAAGTAACAATTTTTGTCCAATGCTGTCGGCTATGACGTCATTGATATTTTTTCTCAGTTATGAAGCGGTTTACTTACTAGATTAAAGCAGCAAATATGTAAAACCCGAAGTCTTTTTTAATTAAAACATCAAGTAACTGGCTAACGTGACATGTAAGATTAAATACTTTTGTCAGTCGACTTACATTCTAAGAACAATCTTAATACTTTCTGCGTAATGCGGCCGAAGCTCTGTCATCATCGATATTTTCGTAAAACTGAAAACTTATTTCTTTTGTGTTTGCTCTAAAAGTTGAAACTGAATACGTCAATTTTGTAAGCTAAAAAATTTTCTTGTTTTGCTGCCTGAAACATCCTCGTAAAAAACGTTTATTCTTCCAACTATTCAAAATTTCGTAACTACATTACTGTGTATGATGAATATAAAATGTCCTTCCAATTTTTTGACAATTTTGTTTATTACTGGTTAAGTTTTTGGTGAAGATTATTTCAGACAAATTAAGATCAGAGGGATTCGTATTCTACAAACATAAACCACAAAATTCATGCTTGGTTTTCAAGTAAGATACTTTAATTGTCGCGGTTAAAATGATGTCCTGAAAGTTATAAGTTTTGGATGTTTATATTTGTGTCTAATAGTAATTAGTACAAAACTAAATACTTACAAGGAATGAGAGATTTTCCTATATGGTAAAAGGCTAACCAAAATTTGGATTATCATCCCCATGAACAGTAGGGTGACTTCATTACCAAAATTTAAAATAAAATACTCCGGTAGATGTGGTTTATGAATCCGTGTTTAGGTTTTACCCTAGACATCTACATTTTTCGCAAACATTTTTTTTTGCAATTTAACTCTGAAACTGATAAACCGAATGCTTTGAAATTTTGCAAACATCTTAAGGTTATCGTAGGAAGGGTAAATCGTTAATAAACATTTTTTCCTTTTTACCCCACTAAAAACATTTTACAATTTTTGCCTAATAAATTTTCTTTCAATTTTATAGAATTACCCCGTGATCAGAAATGACTTGAGTCTGTTGGTGATCCTGGATTTTTAGTTGAAATTGGTATCATGATGTGTTCTATAATTTCCGGTTGTGAGCTGTCAAGATTGACAGATTGTTGGCATTTTTAATTTACAGAATGTATCCAAAACATAACCCAAATTTATCGCGTGTCACGATTGACATATCTGTCACACAATTACTTCCGTTATACCAACATAAACGCAAGAAAAGTTCACAATTTTGTTTAAAAAGTTCTGCCAACAGACTCAGATATTTCTGATCACGCGGTACATACTTCTGAATGTGTGATTTATGAATCCGTGTTAAGTTTTTACCCTAGACATCCATATTTTTGGAAAAAAATCTAAATTGTATAACAACATTTTGCAGTTTAACTTTGAAACTACATAACCGACTACTTTGAAATTTTGCAAACGTTTTAAGGTTATTGTAGGAATGGTTCATCGTTAATAAACATTTTTTCGTCTTAACCCCCCTAAAAGAATGATGACATCATTGCCTAATAAATTTTCTTTAAATTTTATAGAATTACCGCGTGATCAGAAATGACTGAGTCTGTTGGCAATCCTGGATTTTTAGTTGAAATTGGTATCATGATGTTTTCTATAATTTCCGCTTCAGCTGTCAAGATTGACAGATTGTTGATATTTTTAATTTGCAAAATGTATTCAAAACCTAACCTAGACTTGTCACATGTCACGACTGACATATCTATCACACAATACTTCCGTCATACCAACATAAACGCAAGAAAAGTTCACAATTTTATTTAGCAAGTGCTGCCAACAGACTCAGACATTTTTGATCACGCGGTACATACTTCTGAATGTGTGATATATGTCAAGTTTTTAGCCTGGACATTCAGATTTTTACAATTTAATTCTGAAATGTTTTCGTTTATGCCCCCTAAAAAATGATGCCGTCATTTTACATTTTTGCCAAATAAAAGTTCATTAAATTTTGTAGAAATATATACTCCTGCATGTGTGACTTAAGAATCGGTGTTAAGTTTTTGCCCTATACATCCCGATTTTTAGAACAAAAAATCAAAATTTTATAGCAATATTTTACAATTTTACTTTGAAACTGCAAAAACCGGGTTTAGAAATCTCGCAAATCTTTTAAGGTTTTTGGAAGCGTGGTAAATCGTTAATAAAAATTTGTCCCTCATTTTACAATTTTGCCGAAGGTTTTTCAAATTTATGAGTGTTTTGGGGAAAACTGAGTGTGATTAATTAATCAATCAATTCTCTCTTTGCATTGAGGAAACGAAATCAGTTAAATTTTATTTCATGCGTGCTAATCGTCGAACTCTTTTGAAGTATAAACATAAACAGTTGAATTTAATTAAGCATATACTGAGAAATTGAGAATATGTACATTTTTTCCATTTGGTTATCACAAAATGAAAATCGCAAAATCAAATTTTATCATTTTTCAAAGAAGCGGGATTTGCCGGACTATATTTTATAAATATATTTTTTTAAATTCTAAGTTGATACAGATTTTTCTATTTAAAGAAAGAACACTAAAATAGTACTATGTATATTGTAGTGTAAAAAGTAAAATTTTAGAATTGCTACTTTGAAGGATTGTCGGACAATGCAGGGGGATAATGACGCCAATAAAAGGAGCGTGCCGTCAGTGTATAGTGGGCTAGAAACATCCAGGGTTGCATTGAATTTGTGACTTATAGTTTTGTAATAAAATTTTACTAGGTACTGTTGTAGTGTTCTTTCTATAGTTTGGTTGTTACTGCAGTCTTGAAGATTATACTTTCTTAAAATGAAATATTAAATATTCAATTATTACATAAATAAAAAATATTTCTAAAATCTCCACAAAGACATCAATTAACGTAGAAAACAATAGATTTTATTTATTTCTTTTGCAGTATATGTTCTACTAAACATTAGATATTAAAAATCCTCAATTATTAGCGACCTACGCATTTTATACTATTGAATACTATTTAGCCGGCGAGTTAAACCCCTCCATATAAATATTTTCACTTCACGCAATTTCCGGCCTCTTACAGATTTTGAAAAAATAAACAAAAATCTTCAAAATTAATCAAAAACTATCGACAACTCCAATTTCACAGCTGATTATATATATACTCCTCTCAGTAAATTCTACCAACGACTAGTAATAAAATCTGAAAACTTCAACACATTGATGTAAATAATTATTTTGTTTCTCATTTAATTGCAAAGATGTAAACTAACTGCATCAATGTTATGAATTAAATTTCGATTTGTAATCATTTTTAGCTGAATTTATTGAGTTTCATCCGAACAGTTGTGTACAATGTATTCAGCAATGTATGTGAAGCAACAATAACCCATTACTGAAATTATTTCAGTTAATAACAGAACTTCAACTCTTGTTTCACAAAGTTGGTAACATTTTACCCTCACTTATTTAATATTTGCGCCGAAAATATAATCGAATTATTAATTATCCTGAAACACCGGTAGCGTACTTGTTAATTCTAGTTCGTAAGTTTTACGAATCGATTTCGTTTCGAGAGTAAAATTAAGTGATTTTATCCAATGTTGAATGTGTTGCAATGTAATCAATATTAAAAGATGTTTCCGGGTGAAAAAGTTCGATTTTCTTGGGATATTTCGCCATTTCGTTATTACTTCATCTAGCATTGATATTTCCCACTCGAAAATTTCTGAGCAAAGGTCGGAAGACCGAAGGGTGTAGGGTTAAAATCGGTGCGAATTTACACTTAAAACGGTGATGTTTTCGCAAAAAAACAGTTTTTAGGTTTTCCGAGCATAATCCATAATTGTGTATAACAAAACGACTTATTTTTAATAACAGAAAAATAGTTTTATGTAGGAAAACGATTTAGTTGAATAGCGTGGACCGTGTAGACAATACGTAGTTGCGATCGCCCACGTTTAAAAATGCAACAAAGCTCGAGTTTTCTCGCGTTCCTCAAGAGCTCTGGACTACGGAGATGGTGGCGCTTTTCCGAAATTTCACCAAGTCAGTGATAAAATTCCGTTGCCGCGAATAAACTAGGTGTAAAAGTACACAACCGGGTATCTACACTGTAAAACAAAAGCACGAAGTTAACGCTGCGGCCCTTCACGAGCGGAAAAGTCGCGGCGAAGGCTGTGCGTAGGCACCGTAAACACAACCTCATGGTCAGCGCCCCCTGCGGCAGGATGTCCCCCTCCCGTTCCGGGGGCTACAGGGGGCGGCTGCTCCTGTGGAGGCGCTGCTGCCCCTCGCTGGCCGCCACCCGCCATGCACGCCTTCAGCGAACGTGAAAACAAGCGCATAAACAAAGCAAATGACCTGTTAGAAGAGGCGATTTCCTCGTCTGAACCGACTTAAAAGCCTAATTTCACCGTCAAAACCTGGCCGAAACTCGCGATCGGCGACTGTTTGTGGGCGCTTTGGCCACCGGCCGACTTGACAAACTCGAAAAACTCAAAAAACCGCCGCGACGAAGGGTAAATAACGAGAAAAATAGTTCAAAGGGTTTCTTACCTTCCCTGAATGTGTCTCACAACGCCACCTATGCGATATGCGTCGTCGCTATTCCACCAAAAGCACGTACGGCGCGAAGGCGGCCGAAGACGGCCGAGCGCTAAACGATACACATGCTTGTAACGGCGATGACGGATTTTAGTGAATTTATTGCAAAAACGAGGAAAATCCGGCCGATTTTCCGCCGATTTCCACCAGTTTCGGCCACAGCGCGTCTGAATCCGCGGAAATGTTCGAAAAAATGGCTCGATTTCGTTGCGTAACACGGCGGAAAACTTCGTTATTAACGGCGGTATGTCGGAACTATTAGAATTACTTTAGCTTGTCACGACGATAGGGACGTGGGATCTGATGCCAGGAATGCGGCTAGTTGGAACTGTGGCCGATAGGCGGCAAAATGGCGCGGCGGTCGCTTTTTGTGTTATTCATTTTCCAGGCTTATTTTATTTATTATGCTGCAGGTTCAAGGTCTGCTCCTCCGTGTGGCTCCGTATATTAATGAATCCTATCAGCAATTGATTTCATGTTTGTTCTTTGACAATTAAATCGGAACGAGGACTGTTATTTGGGACGAACATAGTGGGGACATTTTTAGACGGCGTTACGCGCTGGCTCTCTCTTGGTTCACCCCATTACTGTACACATCATCAGCCGCGTCAACGGAATATCCGTTGTCCTTACAGGATAAAAACAGGATAACGCTTTTAATTGGCTTCTTTTTCATCACTGAAAAAGCTTTTCCGGGAATATAATCCACACAGGACAAATTTTCAACTTTTCCAAAATTTATTCATGCAAACATTCGATGAAGACAAGTACCAAAGGTACAAAAACAAACTTCAACGACAAATTAACCCCGAATAATCGAAATTATGTCCGAATAAGATCATTTTCAGGTTTAATCGTGCTGGAATTTTTTTTTGTGATTTTATGATGAATAAATTTCACCATTTTAACAGATTCTTGTCCAAAAAAGTTTTAATTTCTGGTACTGCTTCTCATAAACTGCTTAAACCATAAATTTGTAGATAAACCTAAATCCTTCTCATTAAACAGGAACGACAGTTTTGTATACTAAACTTACACTATTAAGGAAGCATAAGTAGTGTTTAAAATAGACCCACGATCAAAATCGTCTTAATTTTATTAACTATTGCTTTGTAACGCAAAATTTCTAGTGCACTTCTCACGTTCTTTCTATTGTTTCTATTTTTCCAACGTATTCCTACCTATTACACAAGAAAACCGTACAAAACATTTCGGAAAAAGTCTTAACGTTGTTATGAAATTTCAAACCCCGGAAAACATTTTTTAATTATGATGCAGTTATTTGTGTAATAACGCACGCAGTGGTATTTTTGGTATGCTAGTGAACAAAAACGAAGAACTGCGAGCAAAACGCCAGCGGTGTGAACAATTTCATTCAAAGCTAATCGCGAGTGCTCAAGAAATTCTGCGAACGAGTTATGCACATTTTTTTGTACGACTGCATGATTTGGTTAACAGATTTAGACTGATTAATTGATGGCAACCGTAGTTTTAACTGTTTTCTGTAAATTGTCCTTTTTCCAACAAACTACTTGTTAGTAATTTTTAGTATTACAAAGAACGTAAAAATATGTCAGTGTACGAAAAAGTCTTTCCGATATTTTTTCCTTTTTAAAGTATTTTAATGAATTAAGTATGGTCGAAGACTCAAATATGGTTCGTGAATGAGTTACATGACATGATGAGTTACAGTTCTTATAATAGATTGTTGTTGTTTCGTTTTTCAGATACTATATCATCAAAGCGTTTATGTTAAATATGCAAATTGTATTATAAGCTTACTTACTTCACTAGCAGCCTGTTTCCTCTTTTATCTTCATAATTTGCTAATAGGAGTTGGAAATGAACTGTAAAAAAATCCAAGACAAATTATATGGTAAAAACAATTTAAATCAGAACTTCCTCCTAATATCATTGTGTTATTTTATTAGTAGGGCCGTACATTATTTCTAGCAGATTTTTAGTATAAATATTTCATATATGCATTAAAATGGAGTCACACAGGCTTACTGAAATTTATTCTTTCGGAAATATTAAAATTTTACCTTGAATTTTTAAAGGAAATTATTCACGCGGTTTGTATTTCCTTTGTCGTAAAAACAAATTGATGAACAAAGCAAACTAATCCTGACGCACTTAAAAAAAATGAAAATCTTGAGGTATTGTCGTCAATCTTTTGGATTATCGGAAAAACTCCACCTGTTGCTGCAGTGGTTTAGTTGGTCCTGTCGACTTGACTATCTTTTTACCAGTTTCTCTTAGTTTTAGTTGAAGTTACCAAAGATCTGCTTATTAAGATCGTTATATTAACGTTTATTCAGTAGATAATAATTAAATAAATTTGTACAACTTAGACGATTTATATCTTTAAACTGCACTTTTAGGCAAATACAAGAGCAACAAGCCTTGGACCGTGCATGCACCTTACACAACTTTTATATAACAATAATTCTTCTATTTTCGCTCTAAATACTTAAGTAACTATTTAGCGCACGGTTCGGGGCTTGTTTCTGTAACAATTGTATTACTAGGTACCTGATTTTTACATCATCCTCCTTAATAAGCTATAAAGTGTAAAATAAAACAATTTTTGAGGAACCGTTCAGTAAAAAAAAAAACAACACCAAGATGTTTTCTGATTCTATCTATTTTTGAACTATAACAAATGAATTTTAAAACGGACACAGATTTTAAGTATCTAAATTGGGTATGATTTAGTGCCCTGTTTGTTTTTTGTCATATTAAATGATACTAAATAAATATGTAGGTAAACAATAAAGGCATACAGTTGTATTTCGAAAAGGAAAAGGATTACCCAAGATAATAAATACAGCATTAACAGTATTAGGTTGCTGTAACTAGAATCATTCGATAAATGATACTGAACATTTAATAAATGACCAAAAAATGCTGCTACATTGTTTAAAAGTCATGTGGTATGCATAATTAGCAGATTATGCAGAATTGGTGCAAATTCGAAGTTTTGAAATTCAGAATTAACAATTAAAGCAATTTGACATCGTCGATTATTTTTACATCTAAGGGTTTAAATCATTTGCTAAAATCTCAAGCAGAACTTTGTAGGCACTGTTTTGTAAAAATTGCGAATATTTTTCCCCTAAAATCATGTGAAGTAAAAAAAAAATCATTTGATGTAAAAAAAGACGTTCATTTTATCTGTACTTTTAGCTGTCAGATTCCTGAACTATTAACGAGTTAAAATTCTTCCTCTTTGAACTGCTTGTTGCTATTAGTACTTCCGGAAGTAGCTAAAAAAGTGTAACATCTATTGCTTGCCAAATAGTCTATTGTAAAATGCGGATGGAAAGTTACTAATTTCGTACGAGTGGTACCTCATTTGAGTGTCCACCACCTTTTCAACAACGGGTATTATGATGTAGCTCTATACATGAAATAAAGATTTCTTTAAATGAAAAGATTAAAAATTGGCGCGGAAAAAAAATTTACACATTCCTTTTTAAGACTATTGAAAACAAATGTAACATTAATAACATTACTAAAACACAACGCTAAATCTAGTAAATCGATTTAGTGCTATAAGTAAATGAGTGACAAATAATCTGAAATATGAGCACTAAATGCATATGTAAAACATCGACTGAAAATTTTAAACTTGCTCTTAAAAGTTTAGAAGTTGATTTTCACAGTTGACTTCCAACGAGTGCGCTCATAAATATTACTTTGGGGAGTCATTGAACTAAAGCTGTTCGAAATTGTTAAGACTCTGTATATTTCAGGGAACAGGGAATTTGTATTACAACAGACAGGTTGGAAAAGACAAATGAAACGTTTCGAAGCTATTCTATCCTTTATGAAGAATATTATCGTATTTGTCCATCCACGATAATTTTTTTTTCTTCAGATTAAGGTATTTATTTGATTGCTATTCTATGCATATACACTTTCAAAATAGTGACGTCATAAATATATTTTATTTACAAAAACAAAAATCCAATTTATCTTCAAAATGTGGCCTCCGTAAACAAAAAGCTTATTCTGTTTGGGTGTTTTTGCAAACTTCGTTGCTGAATTTTCTCTAGGATTGTCTCATTATGCAAATACAGATAAGTAGTACACAGCGAGTGATAAGAAACTGATATGATGTTAATCTCAGAGATTGATAAAATAGTGTCCTGGAAATTGTAGAAAAATGGCGAGATACACTTTTAATTATTACACAAGTGGTGTAATTTTGCTTGAGTAAATATTGGGTACAACTGTTATACTAAGCGAAGATGCGACATTTGTTTGGACACTTCGGACGTTGATATAAATAAATTATTGTTGTTGCGGAAAATTTCAGCAACACTTACATGTACAACACATTCAACTATTAATAATGCTGAGATACGAAAAGTATGTAGTTGCAATGTCTTCTTTGCGATGCCAAAAATGTGCATAACAACTAACAATAGTTGCAATATTTACGAAGTTAGTAAATTCGATACAAAGAGGAATGTCGTGTTCTGGCATAGGCAACAGTTGATTTCACATTTAATCGTCTACATTTTTTAAGCTAAATCTCTAGAGATTTAGTAGATAATAAATTTTGAAAAAAAATTAGTTCCAGCACTCGTGATGTTACATTATTACGTAAGCTTGCATAAGTGTTAGATAAAATGAGTAAGCTTATTCGAAGAAGACATAAAATTTATTGTATTTAAGTTTTGAACTTTATCTTATAGTATATAGTGGAAATAACATCAGGACCGTACTAATTAAGGTACTTTCTAAGATCTAAGAATAAACAAATTCAACGAAAATTCGAATATTTGGCCATAATTATCTCTTCTGGAAACAGCGAATTATGGAAACACAAATGCATTGACGTTTCGTATATTGTCATTCTATGAAAAGGGAAAGTGGCCATTAGAGACTATTTGTTTTGAAAATAAATCGAAATATTGGATATTTGAATGCATGCCTGTGAATTATTTCCTTGTACCTATATCAATATAATTGTTTAAATTGCACATTGTTATGTTACTTGCTTTATTACGGAGTCATTTTTCAGAATAACTGCCAACATATGTCTTAAAAAGCTGAAGAAAAATTTCACCTGAACTTATTAAGCTTTTAGAAGAATGCACATGAAGATTTTACTAAATTACATTTTAATTTAAAATAACACAAAAGTTGTATGAAAAAATGTCTCTTGTAGGTACTTACTCGTACAAAAAAGCTATTGTATTTCTAAAATGACTTTCGAATAAAACAACAAAATTAACTTCCAAACAAAAAGAGGAATACAGGGTTTCTTAATTCAAATAA